AAAAAAAAAAGAAGCATTTCCCATTATTCTTCAAAGAGAATGAAAAAAAAAATAATGTACAATATTTCTCAATCCGTGAATGAAAACTTGCAAATGCTATGGTTATTTTTATCTCACCTTACAACCATCCTGTTTTCTAAACCACTAGACCAATGGTTTAGATTGTTTGGGCATTTTTTTTTAAAATCTTAGAACGCTTCAAGGAAAGTATAGGTGGGTAGAAGGGATGCATAACAGAGACATGGGAGTGATTCTGCGTGAGAGGAAGGCATCCTCAGTTCCCTGTCCCTACCACCCTCCACCCTGGCCCCTCAAGAGAATTTATACATTTCCTTGCAAGCATAATTTAAAAAAAAATTCTGCTCTAAACAATTTTTACAATAGAGCCGGTGGAATTCACAAAGGTAAGGTGATTTGACCAAGTTCACACAGGTAATTAGCATAAAAGGCAGCACCAGAGCCAGCTCATGCCAGAGCAGCATGTAAACACGGTGTATTTTCAAAGCCTGGTATCTGTATTTGGAGATAATTATACCCTAGACATGTACCAGAAAAGGGAGACACACTTCTAGGGAGGTGAGCCAGGAAATGGTGACAAATGCACCTGAGTCATTGCTAAAGAAATCCTGTTATGTGCTTATGATGGCCTTTTATGCAGTAAAATAAGAATTTTTAAAAGCCCTTTAAACTCATTGTCATTGAGTCAATACTGACTCACACCAACCCTATAGGACAGAGTAGAATTGCCGTGTGGGTTTCTGAGCTGGTAACTCTCAACAGGAATAGAAAGCCTTTTTTTTTGTCCCTCAGAGGGACTGGTGGTTTTGAACTGCTGACCAGGCAGCAGCCAATATGTAATACAGTGTGCCATCAGGGGTCCAAGGAAACCCTTTCAAACAAGTATTTTTAGGAACCACGAAAACGTTTACTATAAATTTAAAAAATAAAGACAAGGTATCAAGCTCTATGAACAGAGGAATCTCTATTAAAAATCTATAACTATATAAAAACACTTTAAAGAGCATAAAATATTTAGCATATTTGCAGTGTAGAAGTACAGTACTTGCTTTACTTGTTCTAAGGGTCTCAGTGGAGTCCTGATGGCGTTGTAGTTACATGTGGGGCCGTAAACCACAAGTTGGGTAGTTGGAAACCAGCAGCCACTCTGAGGGAGAAAGATAAGGCTTTCTATTCCTCAAAAACGAGACAGCCTTGGAAGCTTACAGGGGCAGTTCCACCTTGTCCTGTAGGGTCGCTGTGATTCAGAACTGACTTGATGGCAGTGAGCTGTGCTCTTTAGGTCCTAGGATGTTGTCTTGAAGCTCTGTTGCCAAGCATATATGTGCATATATATTCTTACAAAACCAAAGCTACCGCCATCCAGGCAGTGCTGCCTCATGGTGACCCCTGTGGGTTTCCAAGACTGTATCTCTTTAAAGGAGTAGAAAAACCAATCTTTCTACTCCCGGAGGTGCTGATGGTTTCGACCTGCTGAGCATGAGTATCTCAGCCCAACTCGTAACCACTATGCCACCAGAGCTGCTTCATACATGCATATACACATATTCACTGAATAAATGTATGGAGTACCTAATGTGTATGCATGCATATTAGGTATGGTGTACTCAAGGCATACATATTAGGTATGCCATACATTTATTCAGTGAGTGAAAACTCAGTTTCTTTCCCATGTTATCTGTTCATTCCTCATGAACCAGCAGAATGTCCATTAAAAATCGTCAACAGTGTATTCAGGATTTTTAAGAATTTTTAAAAGGATTTTAAGGATTTTTAAGAAAGTTTCATGAAAAGCAAATATTATGCAGACGTATATCATAGACTTGGAAGTAAATTGGTTTGTGTGTTCCCTTTGTAAAGCTAGGCCAATAACTTTTCTTTCTGCTTTGTTCTTACAGCCCTGCCAAGCCCAAACATGTGGAGCTAAATCTTAAACACCCCAAGAATCTTGACAGCTTGGGAAATGAGCATAATCCTTTTAGCCAGCCAGTCCACAAGGGAAACACTGCTACCAAAATCTCCTTATTTGAAAACAAACGGGCCAACAGTAGCCCAAGACAGGCCGACTCTCGAGGCACCAGGAACATCCCTCCCTCTAATAAAACATTTGTTGGCCGTGCAAAGCTGAATTTAGCCAAAAAGGCCAAGGAGATGGAGCAACCTGAAAAGAAAGTAATGCCCAACAGTCACCACAATGATGTGCTGGTGAAGGAAAGTCCTGTAGAACCCAAAGCTACTGTCCCTGAAGAAGAGACAGGGACTAGGAGGCCCAGTGTGAGAGGAAATGAAGGGGATCCGGCCAAGGATCAAACGCTCAGTTCTCAGCTTAACCCAAGAGAGAAAGCAGAAGTGCACACAGACGCTGCCTGTCCCTCAGTGGTTACTGCTCTGGCCCCGGTCAGGAACCACACACTCTTGGGAGAGGATAACTCGAAGGCTGCTGACAGCAAAAGGCTTGACCCTGAAAATATGACTGATCCATCCCCAAATATTGCCGTCCACCTTAATACCAAAGATTCACCTCCACCAGCGGTACCCAAGGCAGAGGACACGGTTTGTGACTCACAGCCCCCAGCTGAGTCATCTAATGGGCCTTCTTTTCTTTCGACATCTGCACCCAGCCCCATGGATGTTCCTGAAGACAAGTGTACCCAAGTTCCCGTGAGCAGTTTCCCATGCACTGATGCACATGTGCCAGGAAACCATAATGGAGTTTTTCCTGCGTCTCATCAGGATCATGAGAACACGCCTCTCTCCGAACCTGGAGGAGAAGGCGAAGTGACCCCTCCTTTGTCCGCAGAGGCTGTGGGAGATGAGTGCCCATCCAAAGTCCTTGTCCAGGTCAGATCCTTCATGCTTCCCATGGAGAACACCCAGGATGTGAACTCCCAGATCATCTCAGATCACTCTGAAACTCAAGAAGTCCACTTGTCAACTTTACACAACGATGAAATCGAAGTCGTCTCTGTTGCAAGCTGTGCTCCCCAGAAAGAGGAAGTCCTGGGCAGTAAGAGCACATCACCCAAACCCCCTCATGGTAAAGAGGAACATACCTCAAAACTGAGCCCAGAAGCCGTGCCACTAGCGTCAGAAGACACTCCGCCCAGCCAGGCCCCAACTCAGACCAGCCAACCGGCCCCCACAGCGGAACCCAGCCCCACCAACTCTCCTTACGGTGGAAAGAGATTAGAAGTTCTGCAAAGGCCAGATCACCCTGTAGTGAATGGCCAGGACAGCCCTGCTGGACGTATGAGCATCTCTGCTGGTAGTGATGACAGTGTCCTCGATTCTTCCTCGGACATGGAGAAATTCACTGAAATCATTAAAAAGATGGACAGTTCTGTCTGTGTGCCCCAGAAGAAAAAGAAGGCCAGGGTGCCCAACTCTCCAACCCCTCCCTTCGCCATGCCACCTATTCATGAAGACAATTTAGAGAAAGTGTTTGATCCCAGCGTGTTCACCGTGGGGTTAGGGAAGAAAAGAGAAAGTCAGCCGGAGATGTCCCCGGCTTTACAGCTGATGCAGAACCTTGATGCGAAATCCAGACTGAGGCCCAAGCGGGCCGGTACCGAGCACAGTGTCCTCTTCAAGTCCCTGCAAGCTAACCCGGATGGGAAAAACGAACCCGTGCTGCCTCCAGAAACCAATGACAAAGAGAACAGGGACATCACAAATGTTGGAGTTAAGAGGTCTCGCCTAGAAAAGAGTGCGCTCTTCTCCGGCATGTTGGCACCTGCTTTACCACAAGACCAAATCTTCTCTCCCTCGGTGACATCAGTCAAGACCATGACCACGTCTTTCAGCACTTCCCCGAACAGTTCTCTTTCTCGCTCTTCAGGGTTACAGCCCCGGACGGAGGCCGCCCCACCCTGCGGGGCAGACACAGAGCAACCACATCTACCCAACCACTCCCTGAAGGTCTTCAACTTCGACTCCTCGGCCACATCTCATTCAGGTTTCAAAAGCCCAAGTTACATGGACAAGTATCTGCACAAGGAGGAAGCCAAAAAAGATGTAGATTCCCGAAGCAACCTGCACTTGCCAGAGGTGAAATTTTCTGAGTTGTCGAAACTGAAGACCAACGAAGATCCGGAGAACACAAGTCATCTTGAAAGTGCTTTCAAACCCAGCCTGCCCAACTTTGGAAACAGTGACACTGACTTCGTGGGCCTTTTCAAATCCAGCCGGTATGACCCAAACATTGCTTTTTCTGGACTGTCATTATCAGACACAATGGTAAGTAGAAACATCCCTGATTTGTTGTTGGGGGGCGGGGAGTGGGGTTGGAACGTGAGTGGAATGGAAAGGAGGGTGATGCGTAGTTCATGGTGTGTTCATGTACATACGCTTACTTTGTATTCATTCATCAGAGTTCTGCATCATTTGAAAACCTGTGTTAGGGACCGTTAAGATTCTAGAACAAAGGGGTTAAGATTTCCGCCCTGGAGGCATTTATGGTCTAGCGGGGACTATGACTATTTTAAGGAACTTGCAGATTTACCCATTGTGAAAGGTATTTTGAGAGTTCAGAAGCAGACAGAATGCTTTATCTTACTCAACTTTTGTGTAAGTATGCTTAATACTTTATGGGAGTAGACTTAGGATTTTAAAGCTTTGTAAAACAGCTTCCTCTTCTGTTTGGAAAGGCCCCAGCTAGGGTGTGGTGGGGTGTGGGGTGTGTGTGTGTGTGTGTGTGTGTGTGTGTGTGTGTGTGTGAGAGAGAGAGAGAGAGAGATTCTTTGTGAGCCGCTTTCATTGGAGAAATAATTTTTTTCCTACAAATCTAGGGGAAATCTTGTGTGTATGTCAGATCTGTCCTTTTGATTATACTGGAAATGACTTTGAAAATCAGATTTTTGAGGAACAACTATGAATATTTGTCTATCTTTTATCTGATTGCTAGTTTTGAGACCTTTTTAAAACTTAGTTTTTGATGTGACTGTGTGCCCTTTCATTACCAAACTTGATGCCCACCTTAAAGGAAGGCCATTGAAGGGAACGGCCACCTGAGAGTGTCGAAGTCGCTTCTGCTGTCCGAGAGGCAGGGTGAGCAGTTGTCCTGGAGTTGATTCTTCCTCAGTGACCGTGCGTGTCAGGGTAGAGCTGTTTCCGTAGTGCTTTCTTCTGTAGCACCTCCAGATAGACTCCAGCTGCCTGCTTTGGGGTAGCAGCTGAGCACATGGTTCACTGTTGGTACCACCCAGGGGCTCCGAAATCAAGGATGGCCTCTGCCTTTCTGTGGGCCAGCCCGTGGTTCAGGTGCATTGGCTAGTATGGGCTGTGACCCACTCGTTGCTCTCGGTCGAACACTGGGCACCCTCCTGGGTGTATGCCAGGCACTGCAGCATGTTGTGTTTGTTGTATTGGCTTTTGTTACAAGTCAGAGAATATAATGTTGGAAAACTAATAAAACCTCACTGCCATCAAGTTGATTCAGACTCAGTAACCCTATATGACAAGGTAGAACTGCTCTGGTGTTAACTAACTTTTTAGGGACTAGAAAGCTCCTCTTTCTCCTTCAGAGCAGCAGGTGGTTTTGAACAGCTGACCTTTCGGTTAGCAGCCCAATACATTTATCATTAGGTTTCCAGCAAAGGCTCAGATCCCCTTCTCGTGTGATTTTTGTAAACCAGTAGATCTCAAACCTTTTTGATTCTCAGAACAGCTTTACAGTTTTAAAAATGACCAAGGCCCCCAAAGAGCTTTGGTTTATGGCGGCGATGCCTATCCAGGTTTGCACTGTTAAAAATTAACCCATAAAAAGATGCTGAAATGCAAGAGCACCAGCACCCCACCTAGCAGCCATGAGAACTGTGATGGCTGACGCCACAGGTCACGCGCCCTGGAGAGCTTCGCTGTGCACTTGTAAGAGAAAACAGAAAGGGCAGTCACCTGGGCTACTCTGAAAAGAGCTGTGGTCTCGTGGACCCTCCAAAGGTCTTGGGACTCATTTAGGGGCCCCTGGAGCAGCTTGAACTACTGATGTAAACAAAACGAACACACAGGTACACAAACAAAATCTCTCTCTCTTTCTCTCTTCACCTTCCTGCCCCTTCCTGCCCCCAAGAGCCCCCAGAGTCCCCAGAAGGCATGAGGCTCTTCGTATTTCTCAGGAAATGTCTCCTGGCTTGTCCTATCATTGATAGGCTCTCTCTCATAAGCATTCTTAGATCACTTACTTGCCCAAACCTGACAGAATATACCTAGTTTTCTTATGGAGCCCTTTGAAACCCATGTCAAGGGAAGTAAAAAAAAAAGCTATGTATTTTTGTGCAGCCTGTTCTTTGTTGTTGTTGTTGTTGTTGTTGTTGTTGTTAGGCCCTGGACTATGCTGGTTATATAACTAGCCTGACCTTACTGTCTTACCTAAATTTTAGTTTACGTTTCAGGCTCTCAGTTCATCCTTTCTTCTCCTAATATGTATGTAAAGGTCAAGACGTGTATGCTGTTTTGATGACAGGTGGTGCTCTGTGGGAGCCTTCCCCTGGTCTCTGGGGCACATTCTGCTCCCCAAAGATGCAAGCTGTAAAGAGGGATCAGACAGACCAAAGGCAGCCCTTAGACTGGGCATCCCGGTCAGCACTGAGAGTAGTCCATGTCTTGTAATGCTTTCACATGTGTAATTAGTAATTATATTGTATGCATTTCTGGTTTTACTGGTCTTTTCAGATGCTGTTGAAAATGGTTAGTTTTGGAGCCATATAAAAATGTGTTTTATTCATCAGAAGGGAGCGTTGGTGGAGCCAGTGCTAACTGAAAGGGAGTGGTGGTTTGAACCCCAAGCTACTCCCAGGGAGAAAGATGAGACAGTTTGCTTCCAGAAAGATCCACAGCTTTGGAAACCACATGGGGCAGTTCTGCTCCGCCCTATAGGGTGAAAGAGAATGGGTTTTTGTTATTGTTGTTTATTCATTAAAAAGGGGGGAATAAGTACCCACTGTTTAGATACTGCCCCCTGGGGTATTGGATTGATCCAGGGGGCTGCAAAAGCACATACTTGTACTTTATCTTGGCTTATGGGCTATAATGCAAATGTTTTTAATTGCCAGGGGGTCAGTGAATAACTTCTTTTCTGAAAAGGGCCTGTAGTCTAATCGGGTGTGGGAACTTAAAAAATATACCATATCCAATCTATGTTGTAAAATGCCCCCCCCCTTTAAATTAGTAGTTATATGATGGTAGATGTGACCATGGAAAAAAACAAAATCTCCTGAGATGTGTATGTGAACAGATAAAATTAATTCAGCTCATCTTAAGTGATTAATACATTTTCCCTCAATTTGAGACTATATTAAGAGTACTTGGCTGGTGTTTCATAAATTAGATGGGTTCTTAACTGTGTTTCTACACAACAGGGGCCTGACTTGGGGGCCCTGAGCTTTCTGGCATGTCCTAGAACGCTAGCTGAGAAGAGATTGAAATGGCAAGTTCAGTTATGGGAAAACGATCGCTCTCCACTTAACAATATAGACTCAGAGTTTAATGTAGCATTAGCATCAATCAGTGGGCATACTTCAAGCTGATAAATTGTAAAGCTGGTATCTTAAAGAACTAATCGGGGTGCAGGGGGGGTGTCGTGGCACATAGCAAAGAGGATTGCTCTGCCGAGTTGTAACTACTGGTTGTGTTTTGTTTACCTGATTACAGTCACTTAGAGGAAGTGCCCAAAATAAAATCAACCCCCGGCCTGGAAAGGTAAGGTTCTTATCTCCTCCTGGTCTTATTTTCTGTTGGCCTGATGACGTGCACCAGGGTCAGCTCCTGCTCGCTCTCGTCTTCTTTAGTTGGTGATCTACAGTGAGCCCGAGGCCTCTGATGCGTGCGTGGAAGTTTTCAGAGACGTCCAGGACTGTAGCTCGTGGACCCTCTCTCCAGTGATTGTCATCAAGGTCGTTAGAGGATGGTAAGGATGAACACACGGCCTCTGAGTTCCTGACTTTCGCAGGGGCCCTGTTGGGCAGGGCTTGGTCCTCATGTGAAGTTTTAAAGATGATGCCTGTAGCACTGTGACACACAGAAACCACTGCTCCGCAACAACAACAAACAGTTGCCGTGGAGTTAACTCCGAAACTCATGGCGACCCCTTGTGTACGACAAGCATTTTAAAAGATGCCTTTTAATTCTAGGAGTGGCACACTTTGAAAATTTTCAAAGTGAAAAGTTCAAGCTGCTTTTTCTCAAAACTCTGTCGTCGCTACCTCCTTTGCTCTGGGCTAGACATAGGGTTTGCGTGTGTGTTTCCGTGGAGGTTGGTGAGAATGACACGGCTCCTGCTGATGGTCTGAAGGGGACTTTTTTTTTTAAGCTGCAAGGAGAAGTTTTGTTAACTTGTAAATGCTAGGTCAGTGAAAGACTATTCTAAAATTTTAATTTGCTTTCTAACTTTTCTGTAAGTTTGGATTAAGTTGATGAAAACATGAATACTTTGCTGGCTTCTAAAATGGTTTTGCTATTAATTCTCTCCAGGGTATACACTGGAAGTCATATTTTAAAAAACAACTTTGAAAGATCATCTGGCACAAATACTTATCTTTGGTACTTATTTATAAGCTTGTTTGAAATTAAGGTAGAGTTCTGGATATTCTTAGGTTTTTAGATATTTTAGCAAATCCTACTATAAAACGTACTGTAAAAAATTAGAAGTAGCTTTTGTTCTTAAATTTATAGACTGAAATTACACTAAAAATAAATTTCCTATAATAGTTTTATTTTTAACAAGATGGTACTTCTTCATTTTGTATATTTTGTTTTCACTCTGCTTCAAAGCATAAGCACTTGAGTATGCTGACATGAAATTTTTCTGTCATATTTGGATATTATTGAGAGTAATATTTTTAAATGCTTTTCACTGACATGTATGGTCATTTGTACCAGTATATTCATTGATAGGGGTCAATGGACCTGGGTGAAGAAAACGAAACCCCTCTATGAGAGACGTTTTCTAACCACTACAGAGAAAGCTCATTTATCTGACATACACATATCTCCGCTAACTGGCAGTACCATAGCTCTCTCTCTTGACACGTGTGTGCACGTGAGCGTTTGTGTGTGTGTTTAAAAGAACACACAAATCTCCCAAAGGCCAGGAGCCCGGCGCAGGACCAGACCGCGTCTCCTCCTGTTGTACATGGGGTGGCCATGAGTCAGCACGGACTTGACTGCAGCTAACAGCACACGACTCAACCTTCCCTCCAAGAATTGGGTGCCTTTGATTTGCCCCACATCAAACAGCAGTTCTAGCATCTTTGAGAGAATAAACACGTGGGGTTATTTTTTTCAACGTTTCTTGAGTTTGGAGAACAAAGAGAAGTCTGAAGGGGCAAGATTAGAGCTGTGGGTCGATAGGGTATAGTTTCCCAAGAAAGCACTTGGAGGCCAGCCCTTGAAGCGTGAGCAGGTGCATTGTCACGACAGGGAGCATGACCTTGTTTTGGCACCTCTTTGCCGGCCTTTTCCTCACCAGCAGTTTTCCGTTTTCTTCAGACTTCTTCCTAACAGGCCCCCACGATCATCCTGTATCCTTGGAGAAAATCTGTCATGATTACTTTTTCAGAATCCTAAAAACCAGTCATAATGACCTCTCTGCTTTGAATTCATCGTTGAAGCCCTTTCTGCCCTTCTTTAAAACACTTGATCCATCGAAAAACTGTGCTTTCATATAGGGCAGCACTCCCGCAAACTCATTGCAAGGATGAAAAGATTTGGGAAGACGTTCACTTGAGTTTTGTTTAAAATTTGCTATTAGCCTTTACCTCAAAATCATTTCTAGCTTATGGCAAAGTATTAGTTTTTGTGAAGGTACCCTAATGAGAATAAGACAAGTGTGTCACTGAGAAAACATGTCTGCAGCTGATCACAAAGATGGGTTTGAACACATTTTGCTTGGCATAAGCTCATGAGTATGGAGCCCTAATTGCAATACTTGTGACTTATCATCCTAGTTCATATTGATGATTTTAAAGTCCTTGAAGATCTTGATATGGTTCTTGAATTTTCAGAGGTTCAATTTCACTCAAGTCTTTCGTTTTAAGGAGAGATTATATTATTTTAATTGCTATGAAACTGGTCACCAAAACACAAAATAGATAGTGGAGGCTAGCCAGAATATTGAGCAATCAAAAGCCTCAGTCACCAGGGCTGGCTAATGATTTTTCTGTTTTTATATTTAGCTGGATTTTGTATGAGAAACCCAATTTTGAAGGGCACTCCATCCCCTTAGAGGAAGGAGAACTGGAGCTCTCTGCTCTCTGGGGTACAGAAGATACTCTGGAAAATAATGATGAAGCAGAGTCAGCCAAGCCCATGGTGATTGGCTCAATCAGACATGTGATCCAGGTAGGTTATGCTAAAACCAGATTTCATTCATTCAACAAGTACTTAGTAAATGTGCCCTCGTTTTGCTTTAAGGAAAATGTTCATTTTAAGTTCATTGACGTAAGCGATAGGGGAAAATATTTGATTGCAGCTTGCAGATATTTTGCCTTGTCGATACCTTTAAATTAAATATGTTTTACAGAGATGAGAAAATAAACATTTGAGTAAAATTGAGTAATTGAGTAAAAACTTCTGACAATCAAATCCTTATGGTAAATTAATTATATATAATGTCTCTCACTCTTAGGCCTCCCATCTCCAGCTCCCCAATACACCTTGTTAGCCTGGTCTTGATGAATTCTATAATGAAAATATTCCCTGATTTAATCAATCCTCTGCTTGCCACTTAAGTGTAGGTTACCTTGAGTGGCTTAAAAGCATTTAACTTTGAATCTAAAAGTAATTCAGTTAACTAGTTCAACTCTGAGATTTCATTTAAGTTTTAAAACTAGCCATTTGAGTCTGTTTTATGTATTGGATAAAATTTATTGATGTGGAAAATGTCTTTATCATTCTTGGACATTGGATGGTTCTTAACCTCAAAATACGGTTCACTGAAACTTAAAATTTTAGTTTTTTAAAATTAAGATGGGAGTTGGCATTCAAGAAGAACAACGAGATGATTTCTAAAGTGAGTGTGACTAAGAGTGAGTAATTATGAGTAACAGATTTGGGCAGAGGCATTACCGGCTTGCCTAGGTCAACATTTATGATTGACTTAGATGATAATTGGTATTCTAAATGACTTATCTTTTACAAGTTTTAAACTCATAATGTCAAACGCCTTAAATGGGCTGTGGGAACCCGTTTCAAAATGGCCTACTTAGTAGAATAAATCA